AGAGTGCTGGTCATTATAGTGGAACCAATCGATTATTTCGTTCGATATTATCGTTTTACGGAGGATCCTTTTTTTAAAGAAAATTATTCACACATCGAAGATCTATCTTCTAAGTATATCGACTAGTTTAAATATTACGCGAACGTCCATTAAAAACGATTATTAATTTGTGTCGAAGTGGAAAACTTTGTCGTGTAACTTTTTCCTCTCTCTTTTTTCTTTTTTTTGTGTTTGTCTGGTTTTTTCTTCTTTTGTTTTGTTTTTTCTTTCCTTTTCTTTTTTTTTTTTTTTTTTTTTTTACAGTTTCGTTAGACCGTCGAAGGACAAAATCGGTCGGTTGCACTCGCGATTAGATGACCCACACTCTATTAACGTATTTTGCTTCTTTTTTTTTTTTTTTAATCAGAGTAGGGCATAATTGATAATCGTTTTGATTGCTTTAGTAATCGATCAGGTAAAAAAACGATTATGATTATAATAATTATCATTATAAAATATAATCGTTTAATATTAAGTTTATCGTTGATCATATACTACGACGTAATCGATAATAGGTAATTAATAAAATAATAGATCATTAAAATTGATAGAAAAGTATAACGATAAAGGATAATCTTAATAGTAAATCATTCATTTGATTATTTCTTTAATCATAATCATTTATAAAGTCGTTTGATTACTTATTGTGATGTTAATTAGTAATTGTCAAATTCAATACGTTTTGCCCTTTTTCTTTCTTCCTTTTCTTTTTTTTCTTTTTTTGGTTTTCTTTTACTTTTATTATTATTATTATTATTATTATTATTATTATTATTATTATTATTATTATTATTATTATTATTATTATCATTATTATTTTGTGCACGTGTGCGTGTGTATCGCGTGAATTTGAGAACGCGGCGCGCACTCGCTTCTTCTTATTTCATTTCACCCTATAATATGCTTCTCTATACACACGCGATTTTAATCGCAAAATGGTCCTTTCGTATCGATCATTTCAATTAACTTTCTCCCATAATGTTTCACGGTTTTTAAAGGAGCATTTAACAAGGTTTAAAAAGATCGATTTAAAAGATCGGATTTCGTTTGCACCCGATGAAATATATCCATTGAAATTTTGTGACAATGTCGGTATAATTGATAATATCGTGTCCTTAAATGGAAGATAAGAATATTCACGCAAATGATTTATCAATGAAATTCGCCCAGTAATCGTTTTTCCTTTTCTCATTACTTTCATTTTTTCTTTTTTTTCTGTTTTCTTTTCTTGTTTCTTTTTTTCTGTTTTTTTTTTTTTTCTTTTTTTTCTTGTTCTATTTCTTCTTTCGTCGATAAAACAGTTTTAAAATTGTATCGCAAAAAAGAAATATCTTTGTTTTGTTGTTTTGTTTTCTTTCGTTTGAAATATCTCGCAATTATTAACCAATGAGCCCTAAAAGTTTATAGGGTAGATTTAAGTATTATGAGTTATAAAGATATTTTTGTTGTAAAAATTCTTAACGCCCATTATTCACCGTTCACTTCTTTTAATAGAGTCTTCTTTCTTTCTTCGTTTTCTTTTTCTTTGTTCTTTCTTTCTTTCTTTTTTTTTTTTTTTCTTTTCCCTTTTCTTTTCCATTCACATTTATTTCTTTCAAAGGGGTTACGTCTATCAAATCGATCTTTCATGTGGATCATTCGTAGATAATTCTTCTAACATTAAAAAATAGTACGAGAATCTTCTCAATCCAGCTACAACTATTTGTGCAAAAAGGACCGACGGTACTGTTTAGACGTTGCATATATATACATACATATATATATATATATATATGGTTAGTTTGTTAATGGCGCGTTTCGTTTATTAAAAAAACTATAGACTAATAGATATCATCAACGAGAATTCTATGATTCCGTTAGTCGTCTCATATATAATGATCATTAATCGATACAAATCGATATTATTGATAGTGATTCGATCAATACAATGATACCAGAGTAATATCAGTGTATTCAATGGATAGTATCAATAAATAATTATTAAAATTTCAATTGATTGATAACAATTTTCTATACTGATATATATTCATTCAATCGATATGAAATTAAAAAAAGTATTTGGCAACGAATGACAATATCTGTTTGATATCTTTAATGATATATCGATCGATCAAGAAATAAACGAAGAATGATTTCTCAAACGATTGATTGTCTAATGATAAGAGATAAAATACAATTATCGATTTTTCTTTTTTTTTCATTTTCATAGTAGTATCAAATGGGTGTCAATATTTTTTAATTCTCATGACATAGATATTATTATTCGATTACTGATATCAATAGTATTGATTTGGTATCGATCTGATTATTATACATGAGCACATTAATTCTGAACCATCGATACGACCTAAAGACGAAACTTTTTAATTTCACATAGACGTTTGATTTAGGAAGAGAACTCGTTTTTCCTTTTATATATATATATATATATATACATATATATATATACATATATATATATATATATATATATACATATATATATATACATATATATATATATATATACATATATATATATACATATATATATATATACATCCAGACACACAAACACACACACACACATACATATATATATATATATACATATATATATATATAAAGAAAATGTTTTTTTTTGTGCTTCAGGATATCGAAAATCGGTACGAAAGGTACATCTCACGCTCATGTAATAAACGTACAGCCGTACATACACATATACACATATGTATGTACCTATGTATGTATGTATGTATGTATGTATGTATGTATGTATGTATGTATGTATATATGTATGTATGTACGTACGTATGTATGTATGTATGTATGTATGTATGCACGTATGTATTTATGCATTACGTCCGACTTTGATTCGTTTACGAGCTCGTAAATTGTTATTTATAATCGTTTGCATGTTTATTTGTATGTATGCGTGTGCATGTGCGTGTATGTATGTATGTATGTATGTGTGTGTGTGTGTGCGTGTATGTGTCATTTGTTAATACAATGCTTTTTAGCTATATTGCCGCACTCCCCTTCCCGCCTTTATCCCCTCCGAAACTTCACAGTATTTTTCTTTCGATAAATACCTATACATTATTATTATTATTATTATTATTATTATTATTATTATTATTATTATTATTATTATTTTATTATTATTATTATTATTTTATTTTTATTTTTAATTTTATTCCCTCTTCTTTCTTTTTTTTTTTGTTTCATCCCTTATACTCTTCGAAATTTTTCTATAACGATTATCAATCTCGTCGGCCTCTTCGTTTCTTTCTCTTTTACATCTTCGTCCTTGTTTTTTGTTTTTGTTCCTTCGCGTTTTTTTTTTCTTTATCCTTTTTTTCTTTTCTTTTTCTTTTTTTGGTTTTCCCACTTCTTCTTCTTCTTCTTCTTTTTTACTTTTTTTTATTTTTTTTTCTCTTCATCAATATCTTTTAAAGCTTTGTTTGGCACGTATAATTAGAATGTCATTCAGTACGGAAGAATTCGATTTAGCGCGTACTTTTTCTCGCTATCCTAAACTACTTAAAACATTTGTCGTTTGCGCACTCTCTCTCTCTCTCTCTCTCTCTCTCTCTCTCATCCGCATCGTCTCCTTTCATCACGTTATTACATTTAAAACATTCATTTACAATGATTTTTTTTTCTTAGTTTTTTTTTTCTTTTTTTCTTTTGGTTTCTGTGTACACTCTCTCTATGTATGTGCGTGCTTGTTTGTATGTACGTATGTACTCATGTATGTATGCATGATGTATGTATGTATGTATGTATGTATGTATATATATATGTATGTATGTATGCATGTATGTATATATGTATGTATGTATGCATGTATGTATGGATGTACGTGTACGTCGTATGTTTTATATTTCAATTACTATATTTTTAAAATGTACATCGATGAGTGGCGGTTTCGTGTTAATACTCGATTCATCTTATCTCCCTCTCCCTCTCTCTCTCTCTCTCTCTCTCACTCATTCACACTCTTCTCTATGTATATTTTGCTTTATTTCTTCGTGTCTTTTTTCATCTTTTTCTTTTCTTTCCTCCCCTACTCCTTCACCCTCTGCCCCGCCACGTCCCGCCCCCTATCAACCCGACAGACCGAAGGAGAAGAACATCCCAATTTTTTTTTTTATCTTCGTTCTTCTACTTCGTTTTATCGCTCGGACTACGGTATATCGTTTTCATATATTATATTTATGTATATAATTTTCTTCGAGACTTAAATACTTTTTTTTGTGCGACTTAGCGTTTCACCCGCTCGTCCGTGCCGGTCTCCAAGATTTTTATAATCTTTAGAATTTCCAGAAACAAAATCCTTGAATGAGGATCACCTTTTTTTTTTTCTTAAATATATATATATATATACCTATCTTTTTTTTAAATTTTTTCTTCTTCTTGATTTGTAAAGAAAAACCGGCTAAGATTTGCGGGATGTTTCGGACTGATTTAATGAAATCAGTACCTGTATGTATGTATATGTATGTATGTATGTATGTTTGTATATTACTTATGTATAAGTGTGTTACATTTCACGTGGTTGTGTCTCTGAACGTTTTTGCGTTAATCCGTACGTGGATTAATTTGTATTAATTACACGTGTCTCCTTGTTAATGTACGCGTGTGTGTGTATGTAAGTGTACGTGTACATGTGTGTGTGTGTGTGTATGTGTGTTTACGTTTAATAATCCGAATACCTTGCACAAGGACAAGGAGGTACTAATAAAACACGTTTATGTCCATATGGCAGTATCCACGATTAGCGTTACTTTCAAAACTCGGAAATCGTGCTGCGTATTGATTGCCTCAATTAATTTTTCCTCGTTATTCTCAAATTTTTCTCTTAGGAGTCCATTAAGAATTAATAAATAGAGATAGATGAATAGATAGATGCATAACGATGAAAAAGGAACGAAATGAGTTTTTACATTTAATAAATTTTCATATTTTCTAAAGTTCGATCGTTCTTCGTTTAAAAGAAAAAATTGAAAAGTTTGATGAATATATCTCGTCGTATTATACGATTTCTTCTTCTTCCTCTATTTTACTTGTTTACTTTTTCCTTTTTCTTTTTCCTTTTTTTTTACTCTTTGTTTTCCTCTTTCGTTTCTTTCCTACATTCTTCAAGTTTTACAATTGTTAAATATCCATTAGGACTCCGAAAGATTGAATAGCAGGGGCAAAAGTAGCAATTACAGCTGCTGCAATGGCAACAGCAGCAAAAGCAACAACAGTAAGCAGCTCGATTTCCTCGTTCGATTCGTGCGCTCGAAGAGAAACAACACGATTAGAAAAAAGAAGATTCGCGGACTGGTTATTTTGGGGTACAAAGGGAGGGGGGGTGGTGGTAGCGGGGAGTGGGAAAGAAGAGGTAGGTTATGGGGATCGAAGGGATTGGGTGTGGATTGCGAAGGGTTAAAAGTAATAAGAGAACGGTACGAGGCTTCGATGTAAACTCTTTTTCCCTTTGTCGGCGAAAGGAAATAAGTGTCGGAGTGGATATTAAGGACAATGGGTTTTGAGAGAGAAGAAGTACTTAGGGTGTTATAGGGATGGGTAGCGGGTTTTCTTTTTCCCCTTTCTTCTCTCTATCTCTCTCATTTTTTTCTTTTTTTTTTTTTTCTTTTGTTCGTTTTGTTTTATCGAAGCACTCGTATTTACTGACATCATCCTCTATCGACCGCGGTTCTGTTTCTACTGTGCCACTTGCACTCAAGGATTCTCATATAGGTCCTTCTGAAGGCCGCATTGCACAGAGCATAACACATTGGATTCACAGTACTGTTGATGTAGCAAAGGTAATAGACAAAGTCCCACAATTGCTGGGGTATGTACCAGGTGCAGGCGGTGATAGATTTAAGGAGAACGAGAATGTTATATGGTGTCCATGTTATGATGAACGCCAATAAAATAGCAGATAATGTTTTAGCTGCTTTACTATCAGCCTTCTTTTCCTGTATCTTCTTCTTCTTCTTTTGATTAGGTTTATCCTTGTTAAGTATACCTTTGCTACTAGGTAATGTCTTCGGTATATTCTTTGCGTTCAATGGTATCCTTATATCTGGCATTTGTGAAGGTCGCCTGATCATAGATGACGGACTTGCTAAAGTCTCCTCGTCTTCTATCGTACTGTGTAACTGAAAGGTCACCGCATCCTCGTGATACATTTTTATACTTGGCCGTACTTCGCTGTACTTGCTGCCACCGTTGCTCTCCCTCGTTGGAAGATTTATCACGATCGTGTAGACCTGCGATGGTAAATATAAAACAATAATTAATTAGTTTTTATTATTTGCTTTAAATACATTTTTATGTCATTGTATATCTAACATCCTATTAATTCTTAATTAAAAATTATTATTATTATTATTATTATTATTATTATTATTATTATTATTATTATTATATTTATTTTTTTCACCATCGAGAAAATTCGCGAGAGAAAAATTTATATTAGAAAATGTTATTATATCATTGCTCTATTTATCTGTGATCTTTTATTTTAAATGGATAATAGATTTAAATTTATTAGATGATTACTTTATTGACGTATACCCTTTGTAAAGAAATTAAAATCCATTTGTTTTTATGAATTAAAATTAATATTATGGGAACAGTATCGAAAATACGAAAATAATGGAAATGAAATAACGACAAGTTTTATCTTAGAATTTATTTCTCGGCAATGTCTCGTTTTAAAGATGGGGAAAAGAAGAAAAAAAAAAAAAAGAGACTCGAAGGAAAGTCAGGAAGAAAAATTTATTAGAACGGTAAGGATGCTGATCGATCGTTATTAACTTAAATATTTTTATCGGAAACTCGAGAGTACCTTGGTCGCGTCGATTGCAAATATCCAATATTACAAGGAAGGGAACCGATGTAGCGAGCACTTGTTTTAGCACTTAAATTAAGCTACGAACGAGAAGTTAATAATCCGTTGGATCGATAGTCGTCTAAGTAAACAGATTCGTCGGTCAACATATTCGTCAACGGACGAATCGCCGTTTAATAGACCGTTAATAGTCTAATAAATTTATACGTCGATTAGATTTACAGCCGGACAGATTAACAGATCGATGCTTGAGCAAAACGTACAGTGAAAAAGGTATATTGGTACGGAGCCGATAAATTTGATTTTGTTTTATCTTTTTCCTCGGTATTCAGTGTAACTCAAGTACTTACTTATTTACTCGAGTACGTGTATCTGTGAAAGAAAGAAAGAAAGATACAAAGAAAGAAAGAAAGAAAAAACAAACGAATAAACAAATAAACAAACAAACAAACAAACAAACAAACAAACAAACAAACAAACAAACAAACAAATAAAAATGTCGTAAATAAAAGGACGATCGTTCCGTAACGTTCCTTCGTATAATTCAAATGGAATAAAATTTTTTTTTGCTATACGATATTGGCACTGATTCGATTCGCGCATTTATTTACATTGTGCAAAAATCGTATAAAGAGTAAATCACGATTCAACTTCAAAACTATTTTACGATCGTTCCTATATCAACGAATATTTAATCCAATCTAAAAATTATTACCCTACGTCATAATCATATCTTTAATCGTAAAATGATCTGATTAAACATTGATAGAATCTTATTGACAGATTTTACGCGGTTATGTCATTGGAAATAAAATTAAATTAAATTCAAAAAAGAAGAAGACGAAGAAGAAGAAGAAGAAAAAGAAGAAAAAAGACTAAAAAAAAAAAAAGAAAAAAAAACAACAACAAAGAAACAAAAGAAAATGAAAGCAAAAAATTATCAAAAAAGATCCTTGCGTCAAATTTTAGATCCTTATGGATTCTAATTTTTGTGGAAGGAGAAAAAAAGAAATGAAACGAGGGTGATATTAGAACGACGTACGGAGTCGCTAGAGATGCTTTTCGTAGAGAGTTCGCCAGATCGAGCAGGCTTTTTTGATTCTACGTGTTCTCCAGTGCCAATCGTCCTTTCGATGGTCAATGCCGTCGAATGCATGGCACTAAGGGAATCACATCTCGAGACCGTGCTTGTCAATGGTGTTTCCGCGGACAATGGCGTAAGTGTGTCCTCGTAACCATGAACTGTACGACTGCTTTCCGGTCCACAAACTTCCTCGTCATCCTCTTCGTCTTCGCGACCACTGTGCCACCACGCGATGCACCATAGTTTTAGCCACGTCCACGAAAACGGCCTGTGCTTCTGAACAAACGAACGATATTTTATTATAAATCATTAATTATTATTTAAATCGTTCATTCCATTCATAGAAATTAATTACCATAATTTATTTGTGATCTCTAATAATGCAGATATACATATATATATATATATATATATATATATATATATATATATATATATATTCTAGACGTTCGATTGAAAAAGAGTATTAGAATAATCGTAGATAAACTTTTAATGATACTTTTAAATGAACCTCCTCCTTTTTCTCCCCTTGAGAAGAAAAAAAAGGCAAAGAAGTTAATGGCAATGGAATAAATGTATACGGGATAAAAAAGGAATAAAACGAAAGATAACTTGCGAGTAAGCGAACGAAAAGGTTATTTAAAATGGATATCTCGTTAGATTTCAACAAACAAACGATATATCGATATGACGATAATATTCGTGTTAACAATTAATTGATAATTAATTAATATCGATTTAAATGATATAACGAAAATGTTTCTATTATGTCATGCTACGAGCCTTCTTTGGGCAAATTTTTGGGAAGATTTTATGACAAGAGAGACAAAGAGAGAAAGAGATTAAGCAAAGGAAAGTCGGTCGTTCTAAAAAAAAAAAAAAAAAAAAAAAAAAAGTAAGTCGGTCGTCTTGGCGAGATCAAAAATAGATTATTTTTATCGAGAAAATCCGAAGGGAATTGACTATAACAATGCATCATAATAGCCGAGATGACGTTAATTCCGAGATCGTTGTAACAGAGTTCCCGGCGTGGTCCTTAATAGGATTTGAACCGTGATAGACATGGAGTTCACACAATCGGGTCACTCTCTCCGGGAACTGAAGCTTTGAGCTATCTCACGAGAATGTCCTCGTTGCGTTCGTCAATATTAAAGAATTGCAACGGTATTAAAATGCATTTTCTCAAATTTTCTTCTCATTCAAACGGGAAACTCAACGATACAATTCCGCTCATCATTCAACTATATAATTCACATAGATATACATACATACATATATACATACATACATATATACATACATACATATATATATATATATATATATATATATATGTAGTAGGAACGTGCTCCTCTAATTTAGAAATCTTTTTTCTGGGTGGGGCCGGTCATTATAGTGTGCGCCTGTGCAACTCTCCTAGTGCACATAGGACACACCATGCGCGCGATACTTTACTATGACTATACTATTCGACAAATTTACGATATGACTAAATTACTATTATAACTTTTCGTTATTTAATCGCCATGATTTTATTACTATCCATTAATAAAGGAGTGTTTGGTAAAGAAAAAGAAAAAGAAAAAAAGAAAAGAACAAAAATGGAAAAAAAATGTGAAAAAGCAAAGAAAAATAAAATCAACCAGAGCCATTGATCTAATTTATTTGTAAAGAATTGCAATAAATTAGGATACTTTGGTACGTAAAAAGATAATCTTTCTTTGTTTTTTTTCTTTCAACTATTAAACTATACCGACATACTGAAATATATGTTAATTCATTATTTCTATTATTACAGATCTATTTTAACGTTATAATTATAAAATCCTTTCTTTTATTATAATTTATCGTAACAGAGAGAAGAAGAACATCAAGAGAGAAAGAGAGATAGAGATAGAGAAAGAGAGAGAGAGAGAGAGAGAGAGAGAGAGAGAGAGAGAGAGAGAGAGAAAGTGTATGCTTACACCAGCGTATTCAGGATAATGTTTCTCGATGTAAGAAGCAGCGAGATGTTGAGCGTGTACGTCATCAGCACCTATACTAGACTCACTTCGAGGTCTCTTGCAATCGTCCATATCTAAGGCCTCGTCACTACGCAGATTTTTTTTAAAACTTATATAGTTCGATTTAACATACCTTAAAATAGACATTTTTAATGACCCCTTGCTACAAAGTAATACGATAATTTTTCAATATAATAACAGTGTATAACAAAAGAATTATATAATACATTTATAATATATTATAATTATCATGGTACGAATGAAATTACATCTCTCGACGTAATTGCGTATAAATTTTGTCATTACAATCGATAATATCAAATGGATCGGAAAAAGATGGATGGATCGATAATACGTTTCAAGATTTTCTATTCTTTTCTTTTTTTTTTTCTTCTTTCACAAAAAAAAAGAACAAAAACAAAAAGAAGAAAAAGAATAGAAAAAGAGAACAAACACAAAAATCACGATCATTCGTGATACTTACGTACGAGGATAATGATAACGAGACATAATCGAGTGGAGATAAGAGATCGTAAGAAAGAAGAAACAAAGAAAAGAAAAGAAAAAGAAAAAGAAAAGGAATCTCGAAACGAGTAAAAAATTCTCTATTCGTTCTTACACCATGCAGAATCGATATGAGTAGAGTGGGGCGGGGTGAGTTGATGGGGGGTGGGTGGGGGTGGGGGGAGGAAATAATTCTTTTCTTTTTTTTTTTTTCTTTTTTTTTTTTTCCCCTTGAATTTCTTCAACTAACGGATATGTAGCTAACGTACCGTTAAAAAGCTTGTTACGTTTTAAATATTAAATGCATGCGTAATTAACTTTTCAATTAATTCTAAGAAGGAGAAGTGCCACAACAACCTGGAGTTACTGCGTTTGCTTGCATCCTGTTTTCCGGCTTGTAGATTCGGCAGATCCCTTTGTCGTTTTTCCGTTTCCTTCCATATTCGCCAATAAAGTATAATCATTACGGTTACTGGCACATAGAATGCGGCTATCGCGGTGCCGACTGTGATGTAATGATTCGTTTCGATGAACTGAATATAGCAGGCATTGATTGGCACAGTTCTTTGGCCTTCGATGTAAGGCCAAGCGTAAATCCAAGGCGGCCAAAGAAGTAACGAGATACCCCACGCGCATCCTAAACATGCAAAGAGAAAGAGAAAAAGAGAAGGAAAGAGAGAGAGAGAGAGAGAGAGAGAGAGAGAGAGAGAGAGAGAGAGAGAGAAAGAATTCAATTCGAAAGACATTTCTTTTTTTTATAACTACGATAGATAAGAAACTTTTTCCTTCTTCTCGTTCTACGAATATGAATGAATTTTTTCTCTTAGATTATTTTCTTTCCATCTTTTTCTTGTTTCTTTTTTTTTTTTTTTCAAACGTCTCGCGATTTGATCTTCCCTCTTTTTCTTTTGTCCTTCTTTCCTTTTCTTTTTCCCATTTTATTTCGAGATATATTTTATCGAACGAATCTCAATTACGAATTATTATTTATTATATTATATTTATACGCACATCTCTCAGGAGATAATGAATTTTTGTTAACTCATTTTTCTGTTCTTTTTTTTTCTTTTTTTTTCTTTTTTTTTTTTTTTAATTTGTTTCCCTTTATGATCATTCATAACAGTTATAACGAAACGATTAAAAAGAAAAGAAACCAAAAAGCAAAAAAAGAAAAAGAAAATAGAAAAAGGAAAGGAAAAAGAAGAAGAAGAAGAAGAAGAAGAAGAAAAAGAATAAGAAGAAGAAAAAGAGGAAAAAGTAGAAATTAAAGGAGAGAAGAAAAATTTTTCCTCCCGAACGTGGATAAAATCTTTCCTAAATCGAGAAAGATCTTCCATTCTCGAACGGGACCGTATTAAGGTCTACATATGTATGTATATATGTAAATATGTATGTATGTATCTATGTATGTATGTATGTATGTATATAAAATATCGTATAAAATGTGTTTCCGCGTTAACGCGAGATGTCGACTTTCGTTTACCGGAGAAACTGTTTTTTAACGTAACAGTTTCATTCCGTTCGTTTTCAACGTTTCGAAACGGGGGTAACTACGGCGAGATGGAAAGAGAGAGAGAAAGAGAAACGAGGGAGAGAGAGGGAGAGAGAGAGAGAGAGAGAGAGGTTTCTGCTAATACGAGAAAATTAGCGTTCTCGACGATTCTGTTTTTTCTTCCTTTTTTTTTTCCTTCTTATTTTCTATCTTTTTCTTCTTCTCTTTTTTCTTCTTCCTTTTTTTTTTCTTCATAACTTCTTCATAATATCAACGATACGGATGTGAAGGAGCGAGTCAACTAAATATTCCGTTCAGGAACGAATAAGAAAAAAGAAAAAAAAAAGAAGAAACATAGAGCTAGAGAAAGAGAGAGAGAGAGAGAGAGAGAGAGAGAGAGAGATCGTGTAATTAGTTCCACTGAAGTGACTTCCTGCCTTCATGGGAGGAAACGAAAGACGTTGAAATTTTCGAGAATCACTGAAACGAAATTTCATGGTGGCCTCTTCTCAACAGGTCTGCAGGAAGAGGATTACCGATTAAACGGACGGGTTGTTCGGATGGGATTAACCTCTTAACCGAACAAATTCATTTTGAAATCTTAATTAATCGAAAATGAGGAAAACTATCGAAGATGAATTGAAGATATGTATATATGTACATGTATGTGTATATATATATATATATATTTTTTTTTTTTTTGTCCGAATAATTTTATTAACCAAATCGAGGAAAATCGGTATCGACGAATCAAATTCTATCGGCAAACATTACCTTTTTGTTCATCGATTTAGGCCTGTGGTTGATAAAAACGAATCGAAAGAATATTGAACGTCGTGAGGATTTAAAAAAAAAAAAAAAGAAAAAAAAAGAATCATTCATACGCAATCAATGTTGAATCCGATTAAGTTCGTTAACTTTTAGTACTAGTACAATATAACGTATGTGTAAGTGACGTGTAAAAAAAGACAAAAAAACAAAAACAAAAAGAAAAAAAATGTCAAAAAATCGCACGTCATCGTCGAGCTGTAATAGTTTAGCGAGATCAATCTCGTCATTTTTCGATTTTTAATATACATAAAAAAAAAAAAAAGAAAAAAAAAAAGAAAAAAAAAAAAAGAAACTCGTGAGATTTTTTTCCTTCTTTTTTATTTCTCTTTTTCAAGAACAATAAACGTATCATACTTTGTTGTTCGGTACAGCGTTTACCGAAACTTTTATTACGACGAAGTTACTTTAAAAATCTTAAAATTATTATTACGTTACAACTTGGCCAGAAAGATATTAATGGATCAACTATATAAAAATATAAGAGTTAAGAGAACAAGAGGGAACTAAATAAATAAATAAAAAAGAGATAGAGAGAAAGAGAGAGAGAGAGAGAGAGAGAGAGAGAGAGAGAGAGAGAGAGAGAGAGAGAGAGAGAGAGAACATTTATTCTCAAATTTAAGATTCATTCGATAAGACAAACAAAATGCAAATGTTAAAAAAAAAAAAAAGAAAAAAAAAAATAAAAAAAAAAAAAAAAATAAAAAGAAAACAATATATTTTTGAATAATCTTTTCACGATAAGTTTCCCAACTTAAGACAATTCTGTTAAACTTCATTTTACAGTCGTGAGATACGTACGTTGATTAATGAAATTATTTAACGCTTCTAAATGCGAATTAACAATTTTATTAAATTTATTATGAATTTTGATAATAGAGATATATCGATCGGAAAAAAAGAAAGAAAAGAAGAAAGAAGAAAGGGAAAGAAAATAGAAAACTCACCTATCATAATGGCAGCCTTTACAGTCGTCCTTCTTGCCCTGTATGTGAGCGGTCTCGTTACCGAGAAATATCTATCGAAACTGATTATTAAAAGATTTAGAACCGACGCGTTGCTCGCGAGATAATCGAGGGCGAGCCACGTGTCGCAAACATACGGGCCCAATGGCCAATAACCTAACACAGTATATACCGTGAATAATGGCATAGATATCAGACCTATCGCGAAATCGGCTACCGCGAGACTGAATAGAAAGTAATTCGAGATAGTTTGTAATTGCTTGTCGATCTTAAATGATATCATAACCATAATGTTGCCGATCACCGTAACGAGACTCAGGATGATCGCTACAATCACTATCCCAACTCTTTCCAATATCCCATACTGATATGGCTCCCCGCCGCAGTCAAGACCGTTGCTAACGTTGTAGTCGTTGCTGGGTATCTCCGTCGCCAAAGTTATATTCATGTCTGTTGGACTCTCCCGCACTCGAGTTCGGTGTCACCCGTGGACGCGCATCAACCTTCGAAACAAAAATCGATTTTTTTTTACGAGAATTCATTTCTCTTTTTCTTTTTTTTTTTTCTTCTTCTTCTTTTCTCTTTTCTTTACTACAAAAAAAATCCCACATGTCAATTTACGTCAGATCGAGGGATCCAGAAACACGCTTGAGTGCATGAATGTTATATGTGTCGGTGTTAAAATGAATAATTTTTAATTTTAAAAAAACATCTTTACGATTACGTATAATTTAAACGTACATAACGTACAGAAACGATAAGTATTAAACGATATAACGATAATTAATAAATACCTTTATAGATAACGATGAAGGAAATGGAGGATCTTAAAAAAAAAAAAAAAAAAAAAAAAAAGAAAAAAAAAAAGTGATGACAGCTTAGACGGCAACCTTAAATTCGATCCAAAATCGAAATCCGATTTCTTTGAGATCCAACTACATTATTATAATTCGAATATAGTGCTAAAAGTTGCCGTGTAATTTAATGTAAACTTTAAAACTCTCTTTTATAACTCTACTCCTCGGCGCGGTACGAATAAACTTTAAAGTGCTTTTAAAAAGGGTAAAAAAAAAAAAAAAAAAAGAAGGAAAAGAAAAGTAAAGGAGAAGGAAAAACAAAAAACAAAAAAAAAAAGACGAGGAAACGAGTGCACGCGCGGAGACTATCGTTCTAATTTTCAACCTCTAATCGTGACTCAACTCTTATCCATCCATCGTCATGAGATCGTCGTCTCGTTAAATCGTATTCTCAGA